ACGAAGGCCCTATTCCATTTGCACCGCTAGAACTTGTTCTAGAATATCAGACGCCTTGCTAGTGAATCTACAGTCTCTGCCACATGCAGCTCTGACTGTTCTTTCTGGTACAACCCTGTACCATTTCATTATATTCATTGCTGTTATACTCATGTTGCCTTTGTTCAGTTGTTGTACTTAATTTATTTCTCAGCGTATCTATTTTTTTACTGATCGCGTAATCTCTTATCATCTTATTAGATTTGCTTCCAGCTTAAGGAAAAGTTTCTTCGTTGTCACAACAGCCGTCCCATATATCATGTCACTGATGGATTTCAAATTCATTGGTTGGTATCATCTTCAAGACACTGTTGCCTTCACTGTTATATTCACGCAGCTCCTCCTTGTTTCTAGTAGCAGGGGGATACGTGTTCTCGGTTCAAATTAATAAATCCGTTTTCCTTTATCATTCAGTTGGATAACTTATGTGACATAAATCATTTCGAAGTCTGATTTCATTAGCATATTGAGCTGGTCGATCCTCTTGTGCAATGATATCACTGTCAAATTCTCGTCTGATCTAGTCCAATTTCTGCTCCAATTCTTTCAGCAGCATGTTCATCTCAGCTCTTTGAGGTCCGCTAGAGGTTTTTCCCTTGCATCACTGAGGGTGTAGACATTCCTCCATTCTTCCAGAAACTTTCTTTCGATAGTCCTTGTACTGCTTCACTGCTCATTACAACTTTGTTCTCTTCATTGGACCCCTGCTTGCGCACCTGTCGTCATTCCGCCACAACCCAGGCGCAGAAAAGTGTAAATCAGGTTCTGTCAGCCTATTTATCACAGTCTGCTTCAGTTCTCAAACAGCCTGCTTACACCTGGGAACCGGGGTGTAGACCGATCCGATATAGAAATATTTTTAATTGCTATACACCATAGTGGGAAGTGGTTGATTGCATTTAATCTAGCCTCTCGCCACATACATGTCCAGAATTCCAGATGTTCCCACGAGAGGCTGAACCCTTCGCTCACTTAACTGGGAGGGTCGTTGGGTCACACAAACCCCACCTCCGCGTCATTTGTTTTCTGTTTCATGAGTAAACGCGAAATCTGAAGGAAGAAGAAAATGTTCTTTGGTGTCGTCATCAGAAGGGCAGGTGCCAAAAAGTCATCAACACATTTTTAGAAAACGGTTAAAAACAGGTCTGGGTTGGTGACCTGAGCCACATATTTTCAAAGTATTCCATGAAACGTTTGGCAGAGATGGGGGATAGCCACTTGCCCATTGATGCCCCTTTGGTTTATTTAAAAAATGGTTTTGTTTCCAGCTTGTTTCAGTAATTTATTATTAGGCTTATTTTTTAATTATATTGAAGACTGATATTGTGCCATAATCTCAGACTTAAAAAATAATTATTGTCTAATTGGTCAAAATATGTGACTGCATATGAAAATACTAAATTCTATTTCACTAGGTGCTACTCCAACGTTGGCTATATCGGCAGAGTGCAGTATATTTCAATCGGCAGAGGATGCGAAACGGTGAGCTTTCGTTTTGTTCATGAAACGTAGGTATATGCATAAATGTGCATTTATTAAATTCACTGAAAATGCACCGGTAGGTAGATAACGTAATTTTAGGTTTCCAAACAGACTGCGTAGATTCGTTTATGCGTCTATAGTTTACCACTGTGATTTTCAGGTAATATGTCCAAAGGCATTACAAAACTTGCTCGCTAGTTCCACACTTCCGTGAATTTGCCAAGATCAGTGAGTTGGATTCCAAAGCAGAAGAATGCCAGATCCGCAGCATAGTTCGACAACCAGAATTCCGGTCAGATCCTGAAGCGTGTTCAGTGCTGCACTGTAGAATGGTCCACCTTTCTTGTTTCTGCTGAAACTTCCGGGTCACATGTAAAACCTACAGCAACCATGATCTATCGATCTGAAGAAGGAGCGATTCAGAACCTTGGATTGTCCACAAGCCGAAAAACCTCAGAAAAAAACTTATTTCTCCTCACTGTATCCGGGTCGCATTCTTGGTCAGTATCCAGCGCTCATGACAGGAGTGATGCTGGGTGCATAGACGGACCTGAAGGTAGAAAGCTTCGTATTACTGTCTAGAGTGTTCATCAGCGGAGCGGTTCAGCTCCCCTATTACAGAGCCGGCGTAGCCGATCCGTGTGTCTATTATGTGCTTTGCCATCACTGTTCTGATATCCTTAAACACAGTAGCCTTCCTCGAGAGTACAGAGGTCTAAATTAAAAATGAGTGTCCAATTCATTATTTCATTTGTGCTTTTTCTAGTTCGGCATAGTAGCTCACGAAGTTGGCCATGCACTTGGAATGTGGCACACGCAGTCTCGACCCGACGCCGACAGGTATATAAGGGTCATGAAGGAGAACATACCGCCTACAGTACTGCACAACTTCCTGAAGCGCAGCCCTAAAGATGTCAATGATCTCAGATTGCCGTACGACTATGGCTCTTTGATGCACTACGATGCGCTGGTAACACAAAATGCTGCTCTGTCTGCTGGTGTGTATTTCCTTATCCGTAGGCATTTTCATTAAACGGAAATGCAACACTGCGATCTACCAAGCCTGGTTATGAATACACCTTTGGACAGAGAGAAAAACCTTCTTTCTTGGATGTGAAAGTGATCAACGAAGTATATTGTAAAGGTACGTCTCTCATATAGACAGTGGACGACATTTTTAAAGTAGCACTACTTTCTGCAATATCATGAAGGAGCAGTTATCGGCTTATGGTTATGTGCAACGTTCGCAGATTGTGCTCATAGGTATTCTCTCCATGTAGCTAGAGTAACAGGGACTCCTTATCAATAAGGCAGTGCATGTGACAACGTCGTGTATGACACTTAGTGGTAGCCAGGAGTTCAGTGAAAGTATGAGAACACATAATGGAGGATCTCCAATACTCACTGAATACCATAGGTGATATGCTTCGAGCAAACGCATGCCTTGATCGTATTGACAAACCGTTCCTCAATAATCCCAGCTGAGCACAACACAATGATCACAGTACGAGCACGTGGTGGAGAACAAGCCTCGCCTAGTCATGTCTTAATGAGAATGCTCATACGTGTACCATTGCGTAAGAGTACTGTTGAAAAATAGCGAAAAACACGGTATACTTATACACAACGAAAAAGATACCGCCCGGTGACTGACCAGTACCTATGTTTCCGCTTCTCTTTCAGTATTACCATCAACGAACGAATAATTACTTTATCTTTGGATACATCCGAAAAGTATTGATTTTCAAAGCACGAATTAACAACATCGTTGAAGATTTTTTTACGCTGGCATTGCCCCATATCCAGTTAACCACGATCCCTGTGAAACTCTAACTATGTATCAGTATTGGCATGAGAATAATCCACCAAAACCTCTACTGTGAAAAATTTTCGACCATGCTTTGCATTACTGTACTATGCATCGACCGTTGTTCTATCATTGCTCATCTCTTTGGTGAAATGAATAAGTGGTGTTTAAGCGAACCAATTCTAATGTCGTTATGAGAATACAGTCGCTTGTTACAGTAGAAGCTAGATGATCAGGCAGATAGGTGTAAATGGAATGAAATGAAATAAAATTCACAGAACAAGGCATTATGGACAAATCTCTTTGCATGACCGAACATTCTGCTAGGATTCTTTGAAGGACTTGATTCTCTGCGTAGCATGTTCGATAGCAACGCAAAGTAAAATTGCAGTAATTTCTTTACATAGTGCAAATAGATAACGATTTTCTGAATATAATATGTTTGCTATGAAACACCGGTTATTGGAGTGTTGTCTGAATTCCTCTTTGAAAATGAATTTGCTGCTATCTTGTTCTTCCATGTTGTTTGTTGACCGTCCTGATCGACGTCTCATGTGTTCTAGTTCCCACGAGCTCAAGTAAAGGCTTCAAGCTCAATCAGTTTGTACTATAGAGCCAACCTTCTTTTCTGAATCTCTCTATCTTCTGAGGCGACCTGTACACGAAAGAGAATAGGGTGGTTGTTTACATCTTTCTGAGATAAGCGGTGAGGTCAAAATAGCGTGACTGAGTCAGATCTCAAAAGTTCGATCCTCAGAAAAAAGTCACATCGCCCAAT